TGGTGATTAGTGTCTGTGCGTTTCTGGTTCTACCAAAACCAAAATTTCCGTATCCTGCCTTTTGGCGATTGCAGAAACAATCTTTCTCTTCTCTTCCCTTACATCAATTTTCTCCCTCAACTCTCAGATTCCCTAGCTTTTACAATCGTCATGGCGAGCCAGCAAGAGGCAGGAAAGAAGGACCCTCTCACGGGCATGGCGCACTCTGAGGCGCATTATTTCAACAGGTAGGCACTCGCGGACGGTCCAAAGATACATTTTACTAACATCGTGTTGCGCAGTTACAATCACCATGGTCCGTAAAGAATGCCGTGTATTTGATGAAAGTGATACTAACGCGCGAGTGAAGGCATCCACGAGGAAATGCTGGTACGTGTGCCCCACCTCCTTCCTTGCCTGAGCAGAGGTTGCAGTCATGACCACAAGCAGCTTGGCTAATTTTACGCGTCTAGAAAGATGAAGTCCGAACCAAGAGCTACCGCGACGCTATCTACCAAAACCCCCACCTGTTCAAGGACAAGGTCGTCCTTGATGTCGGATGCGGCACCTCCATTCTCAGCATGTCCGCGCTCCCCCGCCTGAACACGCAATACTCGAACACACACTGATACCTGGGATATAGGTTCGCCGCCAAGGCTGGTGCGAAGCACGTTATCGGTGTTGACATGTCAACCATTATCGAAAAGGCAAAGGAGATTGTCGAGGTAAACGGCCTATCGGATAAGATCACTCTACTACAAGGCAAGATGGAAGAGGTTGTCCTGCCCTTCGACAAGGTCGACATAATAATATCTGAGTGGATGGGCTACTTCTTGCTCTATGAGTCCATGTTGGACACTGTCCTGTATGCGCGCGATAAGTACCTGGTCAAGGACGGCCTGATCTTCCCCGACAAGGCCACCATTTTCATGGCCGGTATCGAAGATGGCGAATACAAGGATGAAAAGATTGGCTGTAAGTCTGGTGAATCCCATCGAATTTTGCCGGTATGCTAATGAGATCAGTCTGGGACAACGTTTGGGGCTTCGACTACTCCCCACTCAAGGCCACTGCCATGACTGAACCTCTCGTCGACACTGTTGACATCAAGGCCGTCGTTACCGACCCTTCACCGGTCATCACCCTCGACCTTTACAAGTGCACCGTTGCCGATCTCGCATTCCGGTTACCGTACGAGCTCAAGGTACGCCGCAACGACTTTGTCCACGCCGTCATTGCCTGGTTCGACATTGAGTTTGCCGCCTGCCACAAGCCCATCCGCTTCTCCACCGGCCCCCACACCAAGTACACGCACTGGAAACAGACTGTTTTCTACCTCAAGGACGTCCTGACTGTCGAAGAGGGCGAGACAATCAGCGGTATTCTGGAGAACAAGCCCAGCGAGAAGAACCACCGCGACTTGGACATTACCATCTCCTACAAGCTCGAGTCCCAGGATATGCACAGGCAAGCGGCCGGCGAGGCACAGTACAAGATGTGCTAGAGAATGTATGTATGTGTGGGCAAGTAGACCGCGAAGTTTGTAGGTCTTGAAACAAGAAAGAAAGAGAGGGGGAAATGGGGATTTCTTGTTGCATGCTTTCTTGATCGATAGACTCTTGTGCTCGCACAACGGTAAAACCCGGCGTTTTGTCTTTTTTCTTCTTTTCGTTCTCTTTTTTTTGTTCACTTTTCGACAAGTGTTTTGGTCATAACACGGGGTGTGTATGTAGGTGTGCGCGTGGATCTGGGCTCGGATCCTTAGTTATTGAATTGCGGGAAAAATCTAGGGTAGCATGAGCATGCGTGTCACGAGTTATGAAGCAGGGACCAATCGAAACGTTGGGAATTCCTCCCCTATAACAAAAAACCAATGCGTATAGCACGAAACCAGATGTGTGACGATTGTGTGATTTGCTTTGTACATGGCTGATGAAGAGTGGAAGAGAAAGAATTGGAAGAGAAGGAAAAAAAAAGGACTAAATGCCTCTTCATTGGAATCTATATAATGCTCTTCGCCCGAAGCGCTGTAGGGGTATATAAATGTACATGCCGATATGTACCAGTTGGACCAAACTCCGAGATATGGAAGACTCCACAAGTAGCTAATGCAATGAGGGAAACCCGGGCCAAATAGACCTATTTGTAAACGCAGACCCCGCCCTCTTTTCTCTCTCTCTCTCCCTCCCTAGGAAATCGCCGTATAGAAGCGGAAAAGCCCAAAGGGCCGAAATGTAATCCTGCCCAAATTGCCGATGCAACAACATCTCTAACATGAAGAAAAGGAAAAGTTCGAAACCTAGTAGTCATAACTCTCATTGCCAAACCCCTCATCATCATCATCTCGATAGTTATACTCGAGATCCTCTTCCTCCTCTTCCGCTAGCATTTCCTCTTCCTCTTCCTCTTCCTCCTCCTCTTCATCACCCTCCGCATCCGCATCCGCAACAGGATGCTGGACAGTAGTAGCAGCAGAAGAAGCAGGCGGAGACCTATTCACGGGACTAGTACCTTGGGCACTATCTGCGGGACTAGCCGAAGTGTTTGTTCCACCACCTGGGAAAAGTTCTTTAAGCCTGTCGTAATTGATGTGGTTGCTAAAGGCTTTATTCGCGCGTTTCTTGAGCATCTTGTGGGCGGCGTCTGCAGCGCTGGTAGCGGGTTGGCCCTCAAGGACGCTGCCGTCGCCCATTTGGTGGTGTTTGCGTTTTTGCTTCGGTTTCTTGGGCTTGTCTTCTGCGGCTTCGAGTTCGGCGAGAAGCATCTTTTCTTGCTGGGCGCGGAGCCATTCTTCGTTTTCGGTGATCCAGATGGCTTCTTTGCGCCGGACTTCTTCGGGGCCGAGGATGCACGTGGCGACGTCTGGATCGTCTTCGAATTCTTCTTCGCCGATTTCGGGGTCTGTGTTGATGGGGGTGTCGCGCTTGTCTTGGGCGGCGCGGGCCATTTCGGCGGCGGTCCAGCCGGAGCGTCGGAGGAGATCGTGGTCTTCGTTGTTGGCGAATTCTTTGAAGATAGCCTCCCAGTCCTTGATGGCATTGGTGAGTTCTTCCTCAATGTCTTGCTCGATTTCGAGATCTTCTTCGGGAATGACGATGGGAACTCGCTTCTTTGATGGACGACCACGCTTCTTGGGCATGACAAAGTCTGGATCAGTAGCCTCGCCTGCTTCGACTTCCTCAAGCGCAGTGGCGACGCTATCAATCATTGCGTCGGCATTGCCATCAAAGGCCTCGACTTCTGCAGGTATGCTGGTTCCTTGAGTGCTTGTGTCTCCGCTTTGAGTAGAAACTGGTTGTGACGAGCCATCATTAGACTTTCGTCTCTTGCTCGTCCGTGTTGGTGCTGTAGCTGTGCCGGTCTCCACTTCACCATTTCCTGAATCGTTCTCTAGAGATGCCGCACTATCATCATGTCCTTCAAGCCGTCTCCTCCTCTTCGCCTGTCGCTCCTCCTTCTCTGCGCGCCTCCAGATGGCGGGCGGTTGAGCCTTAACTTTTAGTCTTGGCGCAAACTCTCGAAATTGATTGACCGTCAAGGCTGCACTCTGTGTCCTCTTGTACTCGTACAAGCGGGAAGTAATGGTGGAATCGGCGACCTTGACAACATAGACAACTTCACGGATGGTACGGCGAAAGTTGTTCATGCGAGCAGCAATGATAATACAAGCACCACACAATCCAGCGGGCTGGCGACCTTGCACCATCCAATCGCGATTCATGCGCTTCAAGACCTTGCAGGCATCATCAGCTACCCTATGAGAGTCGTCTCCAAACTCTAGTTTCCGGCAGTACTTCAACATCAAAGGCTCAATCTCCTGTACAGCCTTGCTACCAACGAGCTGGGCAGGATCCTCCTCTTTGAGCATTTCCAAAAACTGCTTGTATGTATCACCCAAGGCCCAGACGTTTGTTTGAATCTTCTCCGCCAAGTCGATAAGCATGAGAGTGTTCTCGGGCTGCCTACGAGCTGCCATGTATATGGAGACTGCGGCGACGTTCCTCATGCGGCGACCCTGGATAAACCGGTGGTTCATGGCGAGTTTGTACCAACTAAAAGCCTGTTCTATGACTGCCTCGCGCTGGTTGAGAGAAGCGCCCAGGGCTTGGATAGCGTTCTTTCCGTTCATGGCAGCCTGCTCCCTGCTCTCCATGCCACCAAGACCCCTCATGGTGCCGCCCATGGAGTTGGCATGTCGCTGGTTGGCATGGATGAACCCGCCCTCGACGATGGCTGCGCCGCCCGAAGTTTCGCCAAAAGTGACTTCGGAAACAATTTGGCTCTCGTCGTGGACTTTTCCGCAGTTGTAGCACATGACGGTGCCGTCGGCGGAAGTGATCAAGGGTGTTTCGCAGCACGTGTAGGTGCGCTGGGTGGGTTTTACGGGCTGGGGTGGGCCGGCGGCTCTTCGTTTTGTTGCAGAGGACTGGTACTGGTAGGAATCGGGTTTGTTCAGGCTGGGGAGGCGCGGGGCCCTGCCCGGCCTCGCAATCTGGGGCGCGGACATGGCGAGCGCAGTTTTGTGGTGGTGGTGTTGTGTCAAACGAGCGTGGGGAATAGGCAGTCGAGATTTGGTCGGGGAAATACTAGAAAGACAGTCGAGACGGCGCGCGAATAAGACGCGGTACTGCAGGCGGGGCAGAGCAGGCGGTGATTGGTGCGATTCGGTGGGACCTGTTGCCTATTTGGGCCACGAACGCTACACCTCGAGCTGCGAACATGCCGACTTGGATACGGACCAACGGCTGCAATCTCGACGGCTTCGTTTGTGTGGATACCCAACATGCTTCTAGGTGACAGATTACATGTTTCCTGACCCATTTTGGCGTCTTGCTGGACTGTTCAATTTACCGGCGTGCAGCGAGTGGAAGGATTGCCTTGGGGGCTACCTTGGGCACCCAGATATCGCTCATTCGTCATGTCGTACACACATACATAATCTGTACATAGCCACAGGGCAGACGGCATTGGTAAGCACATTTATCTGCCTCACCGCCGTCTAGACAGCACCTCATCGTGTCATGTACAAGCTCAATAACAACAACAACAACAAGTCCCCCAAAGCTCCTCGGACGCGGTACCTGCAGCAACCGCCTGGGTGTCTTCCATGGCGGGCTCGGAACGCAGGTGATGACGGCACATGCCATGATTGGCTCTTCGCCGTGTACCCGAAGCGGCCGAGCTGGGCGATGGAGCAAAAGAGGCCTGCAGTCGCCCGGCCTGCCCAGCCCTGCCCTGGGCTTCCCAGCCTCCTTCTTGGGCGAGTAAAGGGGGCGCGGCTTGCGTAGGTGTGGGTGTGGGTGTGGGTGTGGGTGTGTCTGGGTGTGTGTGCGTCGTGGCCGAGTACCCAGCCAGCTATTTCATCCGCGCCCCCGTCTGTGTTGCCCTGAGTCCCCGCCCCCAGGCTCACCTCCATAGCTTTCTTTCCCTGCTGCCACCCAAACTTGCTCGATCTTTGGATCCCTCTTACTTTTGTTCCATTATCCCACCACGTACCAGCACTTTTTGTTGTTTTCGTAGACTAGTCCGGCACCATGACTACCAGGAAGAGGAAGAACGACGACGAGGAGCTCGTTGCCCTCCCCAGCGACGAGAGCGACGAAGAAGAAGAGTGAGTCGACGCTTTCTTGACGTCATGCCTCTACCCACCACGTCGCAATCCGGTGGTTTGCCTTCATTGCCATCGCCTCTATGCGCATGCGCGAATTGGTCTTTTGGATTTGTACCTGGACGTTGTCTGGTCGCTGCGCATGGCTCCAAAGGCAGTCGCAGCCCTGGGGTCAGCAGCAGCCGGCTCCTTCCTCCTTCTTGCAGCAATCAGCTCACTCCCACTCTGCCTCTACACTTGACATTGCTATCGTGGCACTTCTTGTCCCATCCATCCAAACAATTGCCCTTGCGCGCGCATGCGACACCTACAGCAAGACTGACACAGCCATCCAGATACGCAGAGTCTGAAGGCTCAAACTTTGATTCAGCCGACTCGGACGAAGAAGAGCCACGTAAGTCATCCTGAGTAACCCCATGGTGGTCCCTGTCCCCTTCTCCGCAACTCTCTTCTTACTTTTTTGTTTTTTCTGTAGCGCCAAAGAAAAAGGCCAAGCGCACTAGCAAAGCCAAAAGCAAAGACGAGGACGAGGATGAGAGCGAGGAGGAGGAGGCCGAGCTGAGCGCCGAAGACGACGAGGATGTTGCTTCTGACGAGGTCGACGATGAGGACGACGAGGACGAGGACGACAAGAAGAAAGCAAAGGACGCCAAGCCTGCTGGTGCTGAGAAGGACCGCAAAGTCAAGAAGACCGGCAAGGACGAGCCTGTACCCGTAGTTGACGATGACGACGAAGAGTAAAGCAACCGTCCATCTTGTAAATGGCAAATGAACATGTGCAATTCCACAAACTCGTTTTTACCATTTGTCCGCTCTTGCTTGCACAAACATTATTTTAAAATTTCTTTAATATATTCACCATTAAAGTCGTATCTAAACCTCATAACTACTCAAAAGGTACCAAGGTCGAGCACATCTATTATACCCACCTCTGGTACCTCTTGGTCTTCTGGAACGCCTGCTTGAACTCGGCATACCTCTCTGATCGCTTCTGCGCAGCCGTCGCGTTCCTCGGCGGGATGCTGTCCCACGAAACAGCGTACTTGGCCGTCATATGCGCAATAGCCCTTGTGAACTCGATCCACGCCTCGAGGTTCAAGTTGTTAACGGTATCGCCATCCTCGTGGTAGTTGACGTCGTAAGGGACACCCGCGCCTCCGCCAAACATGGCCGCCTCCTCTTCCGTCTTGATGCCCTCGGCACCACCGGCAATGCCGCCAGAAGCAATGCCAGCCTCGAGGAACGGACCGTAATCCGATCGGCCGTCGAATTCAATCTCCGTGTGGTTGAGACCAATGCTGTCAAAGTAGGCGGCGAACTCGTGTTCGGCCTCGGCGGAGCCAACCGGTCCAGTCAGGTTGTATGCCGAACCATCGCCATCGTAGATTTGGTAGGCAAAGTTGGGAGAGGCCATCATGTCGAAGTCGAGCAGAAGACGGATTTTGTCCTTCTCGGCTTGGGGAAGCTCGTGCACGTAGTACTCGGCTCCAAGGAGACCGGCTTCCTCTGCTGTCCACCAGCTGAAGCGCACGGCGTTGTTGACGGTAAAGTTGGTTAGTTGGATAGCAATCTCGAGAATGGAAATCGTGCCCGATCCATTGTCGTTGATGCCGGGGCCAGCAGTGACCGAGTCAGAATGGCCGCTGACGTGGATCACGTTGTCGTGGTCGCCAGCCTTTGTCTCCGCAATCACGTTGCGAGTGTTGAACACCTTGGCGTCTGTCGACATGTCGATGTTGATCTTGACACCAGCGTTGAGCTGCGCAAGAAGCGCTTCTCCTTGGCCCATGGTGATGCCGGCTACAGGCACAAACTTGCCCTTGGGATACAAAACTTGGAGCGAGTAGCCCTCAAGAGTGCCCTCGGCGTTGTTCCATGCTACTACGCCCAAAGCTCCCTTGGCAGCAGCAATCTGCACCTTTTCGCCGTACGAGCATGTACCACGCTTGATCAAAGCTACAGAGCCCGAGAGAGATTCTGGGAAATCCGCCTTTTGTCAATGTTAGTCTTGCTCTTTCATATGTTCTTTAGACATATAGCCGAAAATATGAACCTACCTCTTCACAGCCCAAGTTGGGAATAGCAACGAGCGGCCCAGTAACATTGCCGCCCGGAGCCAGAGTTACTGCAAAAGCCTCAATGGTGTTGTTGTTTGCACGGAGCGTGGCAGTGGTTCCGATTGAGAGAGGCACGTCCTGAGTGTACACATCGTAGTAGTCAGGGAATGCCTCGAGCTGGCCCTTGATGTATTCCACAGTATCCTCGTGGCCCTGGCTGCCAATCACACGGTTCTTTCCCGGTGTGTTGTATGCAATTTCCTGGAGGATCTCGGCCTTGGCAAACAAGTTGTCAATGTCAATCGTGTCGCGGAGCGATTGCTATAAGGGCATGTTAGAACAGCTCAGAAAATTAATGTGTATATGCTCATACCGAATCAACCAGCGTCTTGTTAGTGCGAGGATGAAGGGCTGCTGCTTCAACCGCCGCAGCGCATGCAGCAAATGCTGCGATTGACTTCAGATAGGCCATTGTGACTATTGCCTGCTTATTGCAAAGGGAGTATCGTTTCCAAGCTGGCAGGGCATGCTGTGCAATTTATCTTGTTTACTAGCTTACCCAACTCCATACCGCCTGCAGCTCGCAGCTGCCAATGGGCCCAGAGACCGGGAATGCCGCTCCTACCAACATTACTGTATGCCTGAAATGCAGCTTACAATCAAACCCACATACAAAGCTCTTTGCGACCTGCTACATCCAGCCAAGTGGGCGCATCCGCACACGAGGCTGACCCTTCATCCACCAATAGCTGCTATGGGTGGACCCAGTAAACAAGCACACGAGCCGTGTCAAGACGTGATAAGAGGCCTTGGTAAGCTTCAACTCGGCGGACTGCCAAGCTTGCCAAGTGCCACTTGATGGTTGTTCTGGTGGCGAGATGGGGCTGGTTCATGGCTGGAAGACGTATTGCAGCATCTTAGCGCGTGTGGGGTGCTGGGGCTGGAGCGGTGTTTTCATCGCCGTGCGTGGTACAGGTGCAATGCCAGGTTTGAGCCGACCAAGCTTTTGCGACTGACACACACACACACATCATCATGTGTACCTGAGAACTTCCTGACGGGGATGGTGCGTCGTGCAAAGCTAGGTGCATAGCAATACTGTTCCTGGCCTGGTTGCACGCTCCGAGAACCTGCAGGGTTGTTCGTGTGGAGCCCTCGCCCCTCCCAAGATCCTCTGCTATTGTCAATTTCCGCCGATAAATGGCTGCACACATCGGGCATACCCTCCGATCATAATCCTAGCACAGCGTCGTATACCTAATAGCAATAGGCAATTGCGAAATCGCGAAGCCAGGCATCGGTATAGAATCTGATCTTCCTTCCACGGAGTTTTCGTGCATGCGTTACTCCGTCGATCCGCGTGGATATGCTTGCTTTCTTCACAACTGCAACCACGAATTCTGGCCGTGCACACGGGAATAGGAACTATCCCGAGGAGCGTAATTTTTACGATAGCTTCCACCACTTGCTGTCGATCCGGAATGTAGTCAATAATATTATCGTCTACCGGCCGGCATTCCCTCTCTTGACCCGTCTGAGTATTGAATTAACATCTTTGGCTTCGAGTACAGATAGCGCTCCTAACTTGAAATTAGTCTGTAGCCGACGGAACTGGCCAGCCCTCGGAAATTCTGAATCCAGCACCATACGATTTCAGCTCGATTGAGAAGAAATAAAAACGTGATTTCTGTTGGCCTGCTGTCTGGTCATTGAAATGCCTCTAAATGGGCTGATTAGCTATTGTTTCTACCCCATGAATCTTTCACTTGATGGCCTTGTCGCTGTGGTTCGTGTTATGTTGTTGTTGCCTGTTTCACCTACGAGACTCATTTCCACCCTCTCAAGGGGTTTCCAAGAAGAGTTTTTCCAAGGAGCGACCAGGGCCGTTTTCTGGGTTGACTTGGGATGCATCCCAGATGGTTTTTGTGAAAAGGTGCATAGTGCGATCTCATTGTATCGCACCATGTGAGTACTTCTTTCACATTGTTGCGAGCTTGCGTTGGGAATTCCAACACCACTCTTGTTTTCGCTACTTGTTTAAAGCCGACATTGGTTCGAAGTGCTCGAATATAGTTTGTTTAAGATCCTATGGATATCTTGAGCTACACGCGATGATGTGACTAGAGAAGTTACGAACGATCAGTGCTGCGAGAATCAATGGCCAGCGGAAGATGCCTCACCAGATTATTCAAGATAGGATTGAGGATTCCAACGACGATCATCGGAACGAAGTCAAAGTTATCTTGGACTCTGGCGGCAGGGCAAGAATGGCTTCAATTCATGAAGGCATGTTGTATTGACCAGGAAGCACTACCAATGCACTCTCGGGGAATTTACGCACAGTTTGTCCGACAAAAGAAACGAATTCTGGCTCATGAATTGATAGATACAACGAAGCAAGGCAAGAGGTGACATTGTCCAACTGGGTTACCAAGGTACTTGCGCTAAACCGTTTTTGTGCGCAGTTTGTACAATATAGGCAAGATCGAACCAAAGAAAACGGATGGAGTCTTTAGACATGCGACATATATCGCCGAGAGGATATATGTCCTAGTCAAAAAATGGTAACATAGCATTCAGTGAGCTTCATCTACCCATCTTCCTTCTTTCCTACACGCCGACTGCAATGAATCATTGGCAACAAATATCATCATTGCCATACCCACAACTCACAGGCATACTACATAATTGTGTGCTGAGCATCTAACCATGCTCCAACAGCGACTGAAGGCGCTGCGGAGCCCAGCGGATAGTCCTCGAGCACGGTCCCTAGACCCTCACAATCAGATCAGTACCCACCTATCAGATCTCTAGTTCGATATTCCACATACCAGTACCATGGGTACACGCAATCTTCCCCGCTTTCCAAGACCCGGGCCCTTGGAAACAGATTGGATAGATCTGTGAGCTTACTGCAAGCAGAGAGCCTTTTCTTACAGTTGGCTGCGTCTGGAGATGGCGTCCGTGTCAATGTCGAGGACCTGTGAGTAACCGCGACTTCTGCGGCTGAGCGTAACTGTTATCAAACTGTCATACCGGGTACCCTAGCCTAGCTGAACTTGACTGTAGGTGTGAGTTGGGCTTGATTGGTTGATTTGAGGACCAGTTTTAAAGATCATCGCATGGGTAGATTAAGGGTCTGTTTAGTTATTAACTCCATCTTCAGCTACGAGAATAGATCCGTCCCGAGATGGAGTGAACGGTGAACTACATTCAAAGTAGCCTGGATTAACGGAAATATATCCGCAATGCGAATTTATTGACAGACCTGAACATGGCTTCATGGTTGACAAATGCACACTTGAATAATCATGACTGCATACACTCAAGGCATCATTCAAAGATGAATTTGCAGCTCATGGGAAATATTTGCATAATTAATTATTCCAAGATAAGGGTCATAGCATTTAGTCTAGCCCAGTGACTACTTGATATGGTACCAAGGGACATGAGTGATGACATATCAACACCTTACTACTATCCACACCATGCCTTGGCCTCCTGAGCACACGCTGTTTACTCGTCGTCGTTGGCGTCGACCACAGTCTTTGACCATTGGCGAGCCGGGACCTTGCGGTGGAACAGAATATCGATTTCGCGGTAGGATCGGTCCTTCATCTCAGGCAGGAAGAAGTATGCAAGGACGAAGCAGACGAAGCCAGTGCCACCCCAGACGTAACCGCACTTGCCACCAAGATTTGCTTCCTGTACTGAGTTAGTGGCAATTCATGCAAAGCTCAAAATGGGGCAAATCTTACATCAGGGTTAAGCATGTAGCTGGAAAGGAAAATGCAAGGAATGTTGATTGCATAGTAGCAACCACGTCCAATACCGGTTGTCAAGGGTCGAAGACGAATAGCAGATGTTTCTCCGATGATGACCCATGAAGCAGGCGCAGGTCCCAGGGTGAAGAGAACGGAGACAATGAGACCGAGGGAGGCTTGTGCGAGAGAAGCCGCCTTGGCAACAGCCTCGGTTGGCGTGCTAACGGAGGCTGCTATGCCGAGGGCCACGAGAAAGCCGACGTTGATGAGAGAGCCCCATACGTAGATGGTACGACGACCGAGGTATGAGGTCAAAATCCAAGACAGCATGACGAAGATCATCTGAAGAGCAGATGTGATCAAACCAAGGGCAAAGGCAGTGTCGGTGCTCATGCCAGCCTCTGTGAAAGGATTAGCATCATGGCTCTAGATTTCCAGTATTTTTGGTGATGGAAACTTACGCTCAAAGAAGTATACGGCCTGGTTGGCGATAAGATTGCCCGTAAGGTTCTGTGCCGCGTAAACACCGCACACAATGAGGGTTCGGTAGCGGTCGACGCCTCGGAAGAGCTCCAAGTAGCTGGGGTCCTTGACTGACTTCTCAAGATCAATGGTACGGCGCATCATAGCAACAGCCTCCTTGAGATTGAGCTTGGTCTTGCGTCCCAAGCGTCCGACTGCCTTCTCGGCCTCTTCATAACGTCCCTTACGGGTCAACCACCAGGGAGACTCTGGAGCCAGGTAGATGAGAATGGCAAGAGGGGTGGGGAACATCCATTGGAGGGCAATAGGGATTCTGGGAGCTCGGTTAGCCAAGTGGCCGATACAAAGTATCGAAATACATACCTGTACGCCTTTGCGTCTTCCATTGTGTTGTAGTGATAAGTGACACCAGTGACGATGATGGAACCAATAGCCCAGAACATTTGCAACATCTGAGTAGCAGGAGCTCGTAGTTGAATTGGCGTAATCTCACTGCAGTAGGCTGGGGAGTTGGCGATGAAGACACCCCATGGGATACCCTCGAGGAGCTGGGCAACGAACATGACGGGAAGCGAGTTGGCGAAGTAGAAGATGAAGATGAAGGCGTTCAACACCATGAGTGCGGAAATAGTCGCCCATCGATATCCAATGCGGCTGGTAAGGGGACCAGCCAAGCAGACACCGATGATTGCACCCACCGGCCCACCCATCTGGAGAGCAGACTGCCAGCTGGCTACAATGATCTTCTTGTTGTCGACGGGGCTGAATCTACCATAGTCATTGGCAAACGCGGGAAGGGCGATGAAGTTTCCCATCAAGAAAACACAGTAGGATTCCATAATCTACATGTCGTATTAGCTGGGTTTCTCTTTTTTATTTTGGACATGCCAACTGGGCCGGGGGGAGGAAGAGGCGACTGACAATAGTGCAAGACATGACAAAGGCCCAAAAGGCAGCCATGGGGTATTCCTTGACGGCCTGTGGCACACTCATGTTGTGCTCGGCATTTTCAGCCTCGATGGCAGCAGCCTTGTTCTGGGCAGCCGTCGACTTCTCGTCGATTTCGAGGTTCGACATGGCCTTCTCGATGTGCGTGTCGGCGCCATAGGCCTTTTTGTCGATTTGATCGCCCATGCTTGCAAATGTGAACCGGCACAAGCAGAGTGTGCGGTATAAGAGAGGCTGGCAGGTAATGGGAAGCAAAAGAAGATGATCACTGCGGTGGTAGCACTTTTAAATAGAGAGAGCAAGAGCAAGGGCCTCAGGTGTCCCGCAGTCAGTCAGGCCGGCATCTGGGGTCAGTGGTTTACAGGCAGGATTCCATCAATCAGATCAAAGTGGCTATCAAACTGGCCCCACGCCAACGCCCACCTGCGTGTGATTCGAATTTGACAAGCTTGATCGCATCCCGTTACCGCTTGGCAATGCTTTGGCCTTTGCCTTCAACCCACCGGGAGAGTCCAGATGCAGATTGGCGGCCTGACGTTAGTTGATTCCTTGAGGCCTTAGCCGGCGTGTTGGCCCCGAGCCGCCTATCACAGCCCCGGTCGCGGAGCCCCAGCCAACGCTACCCACGCTACCCCATCCCCGCACCACGACTGAATTTACCCGACCCCGCTGAAGCTTCTTTCGCAGGGGTTTCCCACACTTTCTCCCCGGACCTTCTCCTGCTTGAGCAGTAGAGCCATACTTTCCACACCGCGCATGATCCCGCCGACCAGCACTGACGGGCCCACCGTGGCCCAGGTAATTACCGCTACAAAAGACTCCTGTGCTCGCTATATGGCGATAAGGAAGCCGCTGATGGATATATCTACGTATGCGCCTTCATCCCATCGCACATGGCACTACCCCATTACCCCATGATTTGTCGTCTGGTTTGACAGTGCGCCACCCAAAGCCACTCTAGCTCCTACCGGAACACACCAAGCTGTTCTTCGTAGTGCGTCCGTCTGCGCCGGTAGCGATCCATTATCCCGAACGGAACAGGTGCCGCCTACGCCTATATTCCAGTCCTCGGTGTAATGTACCGCGAGTCGAATCAAGACGACACGCGGCCTGTTCACCCTCTGCCGTCCACCATTATCTGCCAACAGCTGAGCAACTGTGGCTGCCAACGAGCACCAGTGCATCACCTTGGACTGTCGATATTACGCAAAACTATTCGCTTCTAGATGTGCCGAGGAGCGGCCATGTCGATGCATTCTCTATCTTCAAGCGCCGCGCTTACCGTTGCATTTGCTAGTCTCCTGCAGTAAGATGTACACTTTACTACAACCGGCCTCTCTCCCGGTCGCCTGGTACGAGCCAGTAGTCTGGGCCTCCAAGTCGTGAATACGCATACCCATACGCATAGTTGTACCCGAACCAGCAGACGATCTCTCCACATCTTCACGACCCAACCTCCCCATCGGCATTTACTAGTTCTCATGATAGACTTGTTGTGATCAGCAGGGCCAAGTTCGCGTTTCATGGGTCCACTTTGCTCATTCCACGTGCAAGTCATTCGCGTTAGCCATGGCCAATGGTCTCTCAACTCTCGCCACAATCATGCAGAAAGTATTCCACGCACATCAGGCTGGGCCCATTAGTGGGTGCCCATTTCCTCAACCAGGAACGCCCTTTGGATATGCAAGAGCCGGACTACCGATTCACCCAATACGCGTACAGCCGTGTATGCGGCACTACTCTGGAGAAGCACTGAACACTGCATAGAGGGTCAGAGATGCATATTTATCCAAAGCACTAATAACCCTTTACAACCCCGCAGAATCAACACAGGCAGCTCGCATGGCAAAAGCATATGCCTCGACATAATACTACGCCGAGAGATTTTGGACAGGTACGTAAGGGATACACCGCAAGCCAAAAAAAAAGTTGGAAGCAGAAAGCCTTGCACAAAGCAGTTGGAGCCTCCTGGAGTTTTGAACTTGAGAAGCAAATTTCAACCTGCGTTTTTGCAGAGTCGTCTGGAAGACTTGGACGCTATTTAGTCTTTTTATGCTCTCCAGTAGCTGACTTGCGTCGCAATCCTATACGCCGGGAGCCCGAAACACCATCTATCCTCGTTTCGATCATATCGTGACATTTCTCAACCATTTTTTCGCGATCTGTTTTTTCTTCTCTTCTTCTTCTTTCCTTATCTTTACTTATTTGACAGCGCTCCACACCTTCTCCAAATATCCACTCTGTTGAGCCAGGCGGTTCAACGAGTCATCTGCCTCACCCATTGCACGGACGAAACCAGCGAGGGCAAACGACTTGTTGTCTCCGGGGATTGCGCGGCCTTCAGCTGTAACATTGGCAATGGCGATCTGGACAGAGGCGTGATCCTTGGGTCGGATGATACGGTTGGTGGCGTCGCACTTGCGTGGGATGTAGCTGCGGAAATATCAGTTTACTTATGTCCAGTCTTGGTTATTGCACAGGGCCAAGGATTGTTTATTTACAGGTCTACGAGTTCTCCGCGTTCGTTCTCCATTGTGGCAAAGATTTGTGGGTTTTTTGGGGGGTTTTGGCTTTAGGACAGTGTCAGCGATAAACGACAAACTTGCGACTGCCTGATACTCACGTAAAATGTACAGGAAACGTGTAAATGGTCGGGATTTCGCTCTCGACGTATTTTCGATCACCGCGTGCGAATCGATAAGCGATGTGGTCTGTGCATCAGCATATCCACCTTGTGCTACACATGTGGTGGCTGCTAGCAAGAGAATGGATATACAAGCAAAATGGGGCTTGATGATTATTAGGGATTGCCGGGCTTGTAAGTCGCAGGGAATGTGGTTGGTCATTCCCACGCAGCCGTGGTATGCAATCTTTTGGGCACATCACAAGATCGTCTCTTGTCCATATCAACTTTACTCTGAACAACATCAAGACCACTTGCAAGGATAGATCATCGTCCAATTTTTCTTCAAAAACATCCTAGATGATTCCATTGCCCCTTGTGTTAGATTCAAGGCACTTACATATCTCAGAAATATAATCGATATCAATACAGGACATAGTACCTTTACTTTCTGACCACTTTTTAGTTTTTAAAAAAAAAGGTTGCCATAAGACTCATACACGATATTTTATCCCAGAGAATACCTCTCTACATCTGACTCCTGCCGGTACTATCTCCTCTGGCTTCTCAACTTCGGATGCACTAGGAACTGACCGTCGCCCTATGCATACAACCCACATCAACCGTATTCCTCCCAACTATGCAGTCGTGTGTATCACCTCTTTATATGGTGGCTCGTACTGATATCGCCCACTATGTAAGCATATGAGCATATGAGAGAACCAGAAGGATATGCCTTTGTTGGTGAGTTGGAGAAGATGAGTGTTGAAGTGTTTGGATTCAAGGGACGAAGTCGTTCATCAACTTGACTGCAAGATAATAAGCTAAGTAGGATGAAAAAAAAGAAAGTATTTTTCTTTCCTTAGAATAGAAGCCACTTTCCATCATCAAACCAGCACGGCTTTTTGAGTTGCTCCACTTATTATCACAAGACACGTTCTTTACCAGTTGGGAAACATGTAGTCGTTGCAAAACTGACGACATCGATATCAGTACTACTCAGTTGCATCTTGGTGATAATTTCTTTTTGTATTGAATTATAAAGAAAAATTCCACCTATTCATCTGGATGCTCCTCGCCACAAACAGACACACACACACACACCGCAAATCTTGTAGAAAAAAATACTCTGAATCAATGTCCTCATCCATTGTCATACCAGTTATCCAGCACAATAACAGCAATTGCTATCTAGAAATCCCTGAGATGCGCTGGCGTCTTGTACTGAAGATATACAAGGTCACTCGATGCAGTTGACTTGAGGTAAATCCTGTGGCAGACAGATATGTAGGTGATTCCTGCTGTATTTAAGACGAGATCAGGAAATGCGGTGGTGACAAGATACTCATGTGTAAAAGAAAGAAGAAGGGGATGGGTTAGGGAGCTTGTGATGACGGAATTCACGTATTTCGTATTGATAGAGGAAATATGACCATGTTTATGCGTATGTCTTACTAGGCCCTACACGTACAAAGCTACAGAGATCCTATTTACTCGGTTTCAGTAATATACACATGTTTTCTGGGGCTCTGGTGGGAGGGGGATTACTACAAAAGAGCGTTGGATTGCGGAGAATTCACTATTTTTTTTTATCTATCAAGGTGAAGGTACCCAGATAACCGAGAGAGATGGTCAATTTGAAGCTAACAGTTCAAGACAACGAGGCAAACTGTGGTGCGAAGATGAATCTCGGTGGGCAAAGGAAGGTTGTGTTCTTTTCACAATTTTGTGATGGGTTTGGACTGGATTCTTGCTACGCAAGAATATGTATTGGGATCATCTTGTGTTAAAAATTTGGGGGAGAAAGTAACAATTGTATGTGTGGGTAGGCCATATCCAAAGTGAAGCAGAGATGTTAGTCTCAAAGGTGTATTGCTTGACTGTGGTCGAGCTTACGCAAAACTTTTGCAAGTAATTCTTGAAGTCATCAATAACGCTTTTTGGCTAGGAGTGTCTCCCGTATTCTCCAAAGGTATAGTCTACAGAGAAAATGGTCTGGATATACATGTAAATCACAGTACTTGGTAGTTCTAGGCTACGAATTCTATCAACCGACAGCCAATCTGCTGGTCACGTCATACTTGTCATGAATCTCACCCAATGCGTAACGTGCTCAAAACGCAAATAAGTGACCATCTGGCGGTTACACGGTGAGCTTTGAGTCATGTCTTTCACCTACAGGCTGCAATAGCAAAGACATCATTGGTCAATACTTAGAGCAAACGACTAACAGCACCACGGCACAAGCAGGTGAGAACTGCAAACGCAAGCCTCTCTATCACCTATTTAACCACAAACCCTATCACACAAACGATCCCCCGCTACATCCAAACTTTAAGCTTAAAAAAGTCTACATGCAAACTATGCAACAAACTAACAACCGCTACCGCTGCATCGGCAAAGGCTTCTGCGGCAGTGTCTGGGCCCTCGAAGCCGCCACCCCCCAAACCGCCATCAAGCGCGAAGATGGCGGCCCCGGCCGCTCCGTCACAAACGACTACAACATGCACATCAAAGTCGTCGAGAGCGCACAGCAGCAGCAGCACCACCACTACTACTACTCCCTCTCAACCCCCCTCTGCATCCCCCAATGCCACCGACTCATCCAAGCCACCGACCCCTGGTGGCACACCAGCCTCCCCCAGTTCCCTCCCGGCTACTCCGCATGCAGAGCCCTAGTATCGGAGCGCGTCCCCAAAGTGCCCCGGTCCATCAGCAACAAGCTCGTCGATCTCTTCTGTGCGGGCAACACCCCGCTGAGCGACTTTGTCAAGGGAAACCCAGACGACGACGCATGTCTGATTCGACCGTACCTTGGTCGCCGGCGCCGTCACAGGCAAGACGGGGTCAGTCAATCGCAGTTCCAGCGCTTCAGTCTACGTAATGTGCCGCTGCATGTTGATCAGATGGAGGTGCTGGGGCTGGACGTCAAGGCGTATGCGGGTGCCATGGCGGAAGCGCTGGCGCTGATGCACTGGGGTGCGAGGATCGATGCGAATGATGTGGAGTTTGTGTTGGCTCCTCCGCGCGCAGGGCATGCATCTACGTTTGAATCGGAGTATCTAGGTGTTCACTGCATGTGGATTCTCGACTTTGATTGTTGTCGTCCGATCCAGATTGACGAAACGGGGGTTGAGCAGGCTTCTGCCGCTTTCTACAAGAACGATCCTTTTTATCCTAGGCCTGGGGCTGGCGAGACGGCTGATGAGGAACTATGGATGGTTTTTAAGCAGAGGTTCCTGGAATCTAGTCACAGGATCATGGGGGAAGAGAGGCAGGACCAGTGGTTCCTTGCTGATATGTTGGTGGAGAGGATTGAAGAGGAGGGTCGGTCGAGGAGGAAAGACAAGGAGGCGGGAACTTCTTAGGCTACATGTTGGTGGTGATCATTTCAAGGTTGCATTCATGCCTTGTGTATATTAGCAGTTGAGCAGGTGTAGTGCTCATGATTTCTGTATATTTCCTTGGAAAACGAGGTAACGGTTGCACATAAAAATGGACCGATCGCGTTCCGGAAATTCCCTATCCAAGTCGAGGGTCGGGCCGAATGTGCTGTTACGTACAGAACACAAAATGTGGAGTAGTATATATGTACGTCGTAAGAAATGGCAAGATGTGCGAATGACGTGGTGTTTGTGGGAGCACACGGATGCAGGGACTGAGAATCAGGATCCACTTGATGAATAATGTTAATTGCAATGACGACAGCTTGCTGTATCCGAATCAAATGTAGCCTTGTTCATAAACCGTTTCGTATATGTGACACCCCAACTCCGTTTACACCAAAGAATCCATTTCAGTTAATCATTGCCCATGGTTTAGTTTCTTAGCGCGCGCAGCCTCTCGGTAAAAGCCTCCTCTTCCTGCTCGGTAGGACCCACCTTGGTCTTGGCCGGGGTGGCTTCTTGCAGGTCTTGTTGTAGGTCAACGCCTGCCTTGTCTGCTGCCTGGGCCATGAGGCGGTCGACATCCTCCTGTGGGGTACCAACAGCCGTGGCAGACGAGGTAATGTCCTGGTAGAGTTCGGTGGCAGAGTCTACGTTCTCGAATTGTTTCTCAAAATCAACCATAACTGCAGCAATCTATGGTAGGGTCAGCATGAGCGTGGAGGATCTCGGGTGCTACTGCAGTGACTACATACGCGTTCAGGACTCATCGACTTCATGGCCACGTCAAGACTCCGGTTGACCTTCATCATGTTGCCCGTGATTTGGCGCATAGTGACTGCTGTTTGTACACGGCCAGCGACGGCATCGACGCGAGAGGCAAGCTGCAGGAGGTTGAGCTTCTCGTTTTGTTTGCGGATGGCGTTTCCGGCGTAGATGCGTGCGATGTCGTTGTGGCCCTGCTTCATGGCCTGGCGAACGCGTCAGTATGTTTTTGACTGGGAGCAGGACTCGTCGTGCGCGCACACCTTTTCCAGCTTGGTCTTCTCGGCCTGCTCTTCCTTGCCGGCTTTGAGGGCCTGTCGGTTCAGCGACTTGGCTGTGAACTAGTCAAGGTCAGCGGGCTGACTACTAGCAGGGACAGGCGGCCGATGCCCACCTTGAGGTTGAAAAGCGCATTCTCGAGACCCGACATGGTGTATAGTTAGAGTGTAACAGTAGGCAGGGTTGGCGTGGATTGGGGTAGGGCTTGGGGAGATGGGTAGGTGTAGGTGGGTTGCCGCTACTGGCCAGGGCTACGCGGGGTTTGGCGGCCCACGCGCCCCGACGTCATTGGTCGCGAAAGGGTCGCGCGAATGCCCGTCCTGTTGCAGAGTACTTGTCGACGCGCATTCAAGAGAGCAGTGGGCAGATGGGTGCACAAGTCAAAATCATGGTAAATTTGTCATGGTGGTCTTTGGGCTGCGGTGCAGCCTGCTCGACACCGAATCGCACCGGAAAACGCCTAGCCTTATGCATTGGAAAAAAGGTGGCCTGCATACGCTGAAAGCCTACCTGGTCTACCCAAAACGCCATGCCTGCACCCCCTCGATGTCCGCCCAAACGCCATGCAACCGAGTCCGTTATTCGTACAAGTGATGCGTCAGATGAAGTAGCTGATTACTGCGAGGGTGCGTTGAATTTGCTCGTAGCATTCTTGAAAAGCTCCTCTTGGGCAGCAATGAGCTGCTCCTCGGTCATGCCACTCTGCTCAATCTTGGTTTGCTTCTTTTCGCGGTTCTGCCCCACGTTAGTTCCGACCAGGGAGGTACATATATGTGTGTGTATCTGGCGAGCGCGTACCTGTTGCTGCTTCTTGTAGTCTTGTGCGACGTCGAGGATGGCGGGCACGTAGTCGCCAAAGTCGAGCTCCTCGAGAGCAGCCTTGACATGCTCGCAGGCTATGGTCTTCTTGGCGTCCTTTTCGGCGATTTCGTTGGCCTCGGACGAGATGAGGGTGATGAACTCGACGCAGCACTCAATAAGCAGGTCTCGCGAGTCCTTGGCAAAGGTCATGCCTGGCTCGCTGGCGAGGATGTCTTGGACAATCTTTTGCACCGTCGCTGTCGGGCACGTTAGTGATGGGCTTGGGGCGAGGCGGGCGCATGTCAGGAGCACTCACCCTTTGGCAACGACAGATCGTCGTTACCGCCAAACTCGCGGTCGGACATGATGATCTAGTGGGCAGTATGCTATTGTCTGCTGTGGCGTTGAGCTCGTGGGCCTGCGCGCGCCCGGGTGCTGTGCAGCTCGACTTAAGAAATGCAATACGCCTGCACGGGCCGGCTGTTTGGCCGACGGCGTGGATGGCTAGGACGCTGATTGGCTGGTGTGTGGACTTTCACCAGCCAGTGTGCTCACCACATTATTTACTAGAGTAGTACATGGTTAGTACTATATACCGCTACATACACACACGAGGGGAGAGGGAGTCACACACACACACATAAAAGGTCAACTATGGGTGGCAGTAAGGGCATATACGAGTCAGGGCTCACGTGAAGCTGCCGATTGCCGGATTCAAATGTGTTACACCGGTCCCGTGGTCGGCTGTCTATCAGAGACTACCCATGGCACTATCGCTATCGCTATCGGGCGGCACATGAGGGCTTCGGGCTGCGGACTGCGGACTGCAGACTGTGGACTGGGTCTTTTCCTCAAACAACAGGCTGGGCGCTTGACGCAGCGGCTGGCTTGAGCAGAAAGTATGAGGGTATTCGGGCTCCACCAGACACGGGCAGGTGGAGGCGGTGATTGGCAGTGAATGGCTTTGCTCCGAGATCTTAGCCAGGGACTGTAATCTGCTGCCGGCCGTGAAGGCGCACTGCGGTGGAGAGACGACGTCAGCGCACGGCAGCTTGCTTGGCCCACACCCCCCCAACGGGTCAACGACGGGCGTGTCATGTCCATACGTAGACGGCAACGGGGGTGTGTCACTGGTAGGTGTACTTAGTGTGCCAGTACTGGTGTCGCTGCTGCTAGTTGCTGCTGTTGCCTCTAACACATTTAGTTACATGATTTGGCTCCAGCTTGCGCGCGTCGCTCGGCGACCGACAGTGCAAGTGGTGGATGAGTGACTGATGACAGCACTGGGGCGGCGGCGGCGGTGGTGGTGGTGGTGGTAGTGGTAGTGGTGGGTGGCGGTCAAAGGGCCGAGGACAAGCGGCAGGCGTTGCGGCAGTGGTGCAGTGCAGTGCAGCGCTGCAGCGGCGCAGAGGCTCGTGGCCAAGGCTCCGCCACCAGCGCCCCGAGTGAATGCATTGATTGCTCTGGCCAGAGGGGGACGAGCACAAGTACGAGTAGCATATGAAATCTAGCAAGCCTCCCTAGTTGACCGGTCGGATAACGTGCCTGCGGTCAAGGGAGCAATGGGCTGCTGTCCATAACGAGCGCAAACACTTGACTTGCCTATCTCCTCTGCGTTCCACCCACTCCCTTAGTATCGATTCCTCCGCCGCTCATCTGCAATCCACAATCTGCAATCACCTGCAATCTGCAGCGCCCTCTGACGCTGCTGTTGCTATCAATCGCCCATCTGCATCGCTGCTCCCGCACGCTAATAACTCACCATTCTGGCACGGCCGTGTCGATGCTGCAGCCTGTCTCCTGCCAACTGTACCCGAACCCACTCCCCAGGCTCTTCCAAGGCACACTCACTGCACACGCACACACGCTCACGTCTCCCCAACCCTACCCGCGCCTTACACACCGCCGCGTGGCTCGAGCCTGCACAAACTCGGACTGCTTGCCCCGTTAAAGACGTCCTAGAGCAGAGTTTTCGCACACTCGTTGCAACGCGCTTGTTTAGGGCCAAGGCCGCTCGGAGCAGCGAGCCAGGTTCCAATTGATTATTATGACTTCACGCCCGCCTGCGGACCCGGCGCCCACTTCGCTCTCAGCGTCCCCGGCCAGCGATACCTTCAGCAGCAGCCCCTCTCGCGCCAGCCTCCGTGACAACTCCTCCTCCTACTCCACAGCCACCATCACCCCTTCTACCGCCGCCGCATCCAAGATCCGCCCAAAGAGCCCAGCTGTAGATGCCCTTTCGCACCGTCCCGGACTAGTCTCGCGCACCTCCGACTCTTCCACAAAGACCATCCAGCCCCGCCATCACATCCGCAACAAGTCGAGCAGTCTTGTCCCGACCCTCTCCACCCTCAACGTCGGCACTGCACCCTCGACCCGCCAACCACCCACCATGGCCTCCCACGCCGGTACCACGTCCTCTGGCGCTGCCGACCTGCTTAGGCAGGCAATGACACGGTAAGCATGCCCTTGTTTGCCCTTTCCTCTCCCCCTCTCGCCATCGTCGCCGTGCTGGTGGGTGTGCAGCCTTTGGGCCGCCACCCCAGAGCTGTCCCCGTCGCTTAGCAAAAGCTAGCATCTGAGCTGGTCAGATGCAGCTGAGCAACATCCCCGTCTAACGTTGCACACTATTTCTTCGCCATCGGCCCAGCAACTCGTGGTCATGTTCGCAGCTCTCACACCACCACGTTGCTCCCGCCCCGACACGCACTCACCGCCCTTTAACTTGATGCGACATCATGTCGTCTTCTCCATTGCTGACTCACCACAGAGCAACAAACGAAAATAATGACGACGGACACGATCAGATCGGCTCCACCAGCTCCACGCCACCCGGTGCCACGACACCCAAGCCCGATCCTACGGACAAACGACTGCCGGGTATTCTGCATAGTTACTTTGGTCAGGTTCGTGATTCTCTTATGCCCTCGCGGAAGTCGTTGTCAGCGGCAAGCCCCTCCCCCGCACCCGTCACTTCTTCTGCACAGAACCATCTCGAGCCTGCACCGTCGGAACCCCAAGAAAAAGAACAAAAAGAGTCATCTACCCAACCCAAAATGCTGCCTAGCCCTACCCCTAGTGCCTCTTCCCGAACTCCCTCAGCCTCACAGTTGGCTGGTGAAACGGAGAAGCTAACG